CCCTTGCAGCTTAATTAAGCTACTTTTCAAAAGTATATATCCCATACCAGTGAAGACATATTTGTTTTCAGTTTCTTTTGATGTACAAGTTATGGCTTCCAGTTTAGTGTTTCTATGGGACTTCTGATTGTGCAAACAAGTGGGTCTCTGTTTCTTGTGTCTTCTCTTGGGCTCTTTTCATTCTTTTGGTTTGTTTTCCTATTCTGATGTGTGAGTTTTTGTTTTAGTTTAGTTTAGTTTAATATCCCTTAGAATCCTGTTTGTTTTCTAATGAGTGACAGAAAGGGGGGAATGTAGATCCAGGTAGGAGGGGAGGAACTGGGAATAGCAGGGAGGCAGGAAACTGTAATCAGGATATATTATGTGAGGAAAACAAATCTATTTTCAATAAAAGGGAAAGATAACATTTATAGCTGAATCAAGTTGTTTAGTTCACTCAGTAACTGCATTATGCATTAGAGTGTGGGAGACTAATTATTTGTACTTATTCAGTTTATTAAATGTTCACTGACAGGACTGATTACTATGCTGAATATTATATAGACTACACCTGTCCAACTCTTTTGTCTATAGGAAGAAATATATTGATAAAAAAAGACATGAATTAAATATCACAAAGCAGTATCTGAGTCTTGCAGCACTAGGAAAGAAAAAGAGAACAGCAAAGGAAAAACAAGCATAATAGAAAATTTTAGGTCAAAAGGTCAGAATCTTCTCCGAACAAGTGCTACTGTTCACTTCAGTGTAATCTATTTTATCCAAATGATGTGAAAAGAAGAATGCCTCTATGAGTAGCTATCTCATGCTGCAAGAAGCTCATGGAATTTAGTTTTATAGGCACTCCCTAGCCATACTAAAAATAAATAAAGAAACAGGGTTCTAAACATATGAGCTGAGCATATGTTCATACTTTTTACAGAAGTCATTTGTGTTATGTATGCTTTGTTCATTCAGAATCATGTGGATGTGAACATTGTGTTTCTTCACTTTTTAACCAACCATTGATTACAGAACACTTCATGCTATAGTTTATATCAATCTTTGAGGAGAATTTATTTTCCTAAATCAATCCTTTCTCTGTTAATAAACATTTCTTTACAGCTGGTAACAATTATGGTGGTACCATTGTGGGAACAACATAGTTAAAGACAGTGCTGAGCACTTTGAATACAATAAAAAAGATATTTCTGTCACATCAGATCCCAGAGAGAAAGCTAAAGGGTATGAAGAGTATATTAATTTATCAGGTAAGCCCCATTTTGAAATTATCCGTTCTCCTTTGATTGTTTCATCTATTTTCCTTATAGAAATATGTATGGAGGGTCCAGTCAGTCCAGAATATTTTGCTGAGTGTTATTAGGGACTCTTCTAAAAACAGTAATAATAATAGCCCATTAAAGCATCGACAAGTCAAAATCATAAGTCATTTTCCTCAAGAGATCATTTATTAACAACAGAGAAGTCAAATAATACTGAAGTAAATCTCAGAATATTATATCTGATCAAATGCACTGATAATATCTAATCTGGCAAAATTAAGATAAGATTATTTCCAGAGTATACCATCTGGTCTACCAAGGTTTCTGCTTTTTCTCTTGTTTCATGAACAGTTACTGAGGTTGACTGGATTCAATATCTGGTCTTTCAGTCAACTAAGTAATTGAGTGCCAAAAGTTCATTTGTCTTAATACAATGGCAAAGGCATATGCACTTTCATGAAAAATAGAGGACACATTCAAACAAACAAATAAGCAAACTCTTTCTCATGTTTCTTTTTATACTGGAGCCAAGCTAAAGTAAATAAAATAAAGTCATGGAATGAATATTTCTACATGAAAGTAAGTCCTAACCATCACTATTTTGAATCTCACGAGCTTTTACTTTTCTCCATCAAAATTTGCTAATGTAGGAAATGTTTGTTCTCAGCCCTAAATGAGTCTGTTCCACTGATTCATGAAATATTCTGGCAAACTTGGAATTAAAGAATTTTAAGCAAGGGGTGTACATGAGACTATTTGGCTCCAATAACACAATTGCAGTTGAAAAATCCTGAGTCTATAGATATGATTATTAAACAATATTCTGAAAATAACCAATAACTATACCACTTACAATGAATGAAGGGAATGTAAAACAAAAAAGATCAGAGCATCTCTCTGCAATGCACAGTGACAAAACAGCTTACATTTATTTAGTGCCTAGTGTGAGCTAGATATTTTATCATCATCTTCAATGAAAAATTAAAACTAACAAGTAAGACAAGTACATTAATGACTGGAGAGGTAGCTCCAAGGCTAACAGCACTGGTTGTTCTGCTAGATGACCCAGCTTTCCAGAACTCACATGGTAGCTCACAATCATCTGCAATTTCAGTTCCAGAGTATGTAAATCACTCTTCTGGCCTCAGAAGATGCCAGCCATGCTTGTGCTGCACAGACATACATGCAGACAAAACACTCATACACAGAAAAATAATCTTTTTTAAAATCTTCATTGATTAGCTAAAGCTCTCAAACGAAGTACCACAGACACGAGATTGTTGAGTATTGCACAGAAATATATTTTCTTACAGTTCTGAAGTACATATTTTCTTGCAGTTCTTGGAATATTAAACAGAAATATATTTTCTTGAGTTCTGGTTGGTACAAGTTCGAGATAAAAGTGTCATCAGGATTTTTTCCAGTAACCTTTTCCCTTTTATTGCATATAGCTATCTTCTCTAGCTTCAAGAGGTTCCTCTGGCATTTATCTGTGTCCAAAATTCCTCTCCCTGTGAAGAAGCTAGTCATATTAGATAAAAGTCCATCCCATGACTTATATTTACTTGACTACATCTTGAATGTCCACATCTCCCATATAGCTACATTCTAAGGTGTCAGGAGTTAGGGCCTCAAGGTAAGAATTTCAGGAACAAGCATAAAAATTTACCTCATCATAGTCAAGTAATGTATGTGAAAGCTCAAATTTGCCCCCTTCCCCCAGATACTCTGACTCTTAATCCTGGCTGCTGTCCATTAAACAAATGAGAGATTAGACATACACATAATCATCATCTGTGAGAACTTCCAATAACTAATTGATATCTTTTCACAGTAAGTCACCATAGCTGCTGTCTAACATATATGAATTGAATTTTTCACTGCCCTAGAGGAACTATTTCTCATATGTATTAATTTCTACAAAGTAATAAAGAGGCAATGTAATGATGAATGCCTTTGGCTGGGAATGCACTGGCATTCTGCCTGAAATAAAAATGTGAAGTTTGCCATTAAAGTGTAATGAAAGTTTCAGAAGATAGTCTCTAGCTTAATTTCACCTACCTTTTAATTCCTTTGTATATTTGAAATATTCAGAATGACATAGAGATACATAATTCCCAACATTTTGGATAGAATTGTGAATATAGCACCAATATACTTATACATCTTATGGGAAATTATTTTCCTTTCTTTTCTTAAGCTGAGCACTCAAACACATTAAACATTCACAAAGAATAACCAAAAGGCTTCCAGGATTCAAAACATATCAATGAATTTCTATCTAGCATGTGGCAGAAATGTGCTTATAAAGTATTACTTTACTAGTTTTTTTTTTCCTATGCCATCCTTTGTAGGTTTACTTTGAAAGCATTCTTAATGTCCCCGAGTTAATAAAGCATCTGTGAAAAGTAAATGTTCAAGATCAGCAATAATGTTTCTAATTGTATCCCATTGTCTTACCTCTAATCATTATCTTCTAAAGATTCATAATTCATTACCCCGCTTGATGTAGCAGAAGATTTTACCAGAACCTTTGTTGCAAACACATTCTGAAGGTCAAATCGGTCAAGCAAAAGTTCATATTTCATGGAATTATTTGATGTACTTATCACCTCCTTGAGGTCTGGCCAACATCTTAGTGATTAAGTTAACTCCTTCAAATAGATTTATATGCTCTGGGAAATGTTTATTTGACTTATCCCTGGAGAACTTTTTTTTTTCATTTTTCTTTATTAAGAAATTTTCTACTCACTCCACATGCTATCCACAGATCCCCCTCCTCCTTCCTCTCACCCACAGCCCTCTTTCCCAAGCCACCCCACATCCCCACATCCCCACATCCCCACATCCCCCCAACCGAGGTCTCCCACAGGGAGTCAGCAGAGCCCAGCACACTGAGCCTAGGCAGGTCCAAGCCCCTTCCCACTGCACCAAGGCTGTGCAAGATGTCACGCCACAGGCACCAGATTCCAGAAGCCTGCCCATAGACCAGGGACAGATCCCGATGCCCCTGCCTGGGTGCCCCCCAAACAGTTCGAGCCAAACAACCATCTTCCATGTCCAGCGGGCCTAGTCCAGTCCCATGGGGGCTCCACAGCCACCAGTCCACAGTTCATGGGCTTCCACTAGTGTAGCCGGTCATCTCTGCACGTCCTTCCATCATGATCTCCACGTCCCTCGCCTGCAGTATCTCTCCTCTCTCTCATCAGTTGGATTCCCGGAGCTCAGCCTGGTACCTGGCCCTGGATCTCTGTATCTGCCTCCATCTGTCACTGGACAAAGGCTCTATGATGACAGCTAGGTTATTTGCTAGGTTGGCCACCAGAGTAGACCGGTCCAGGCACCCTCTGGACCACTGCCAGCAGACCAACTTTTTATATAAGGTCTCTCTCCATTGTTTAACAATTCGGCAATTTTTAAAGATGTTTGGAGGGGATAAGGAGCAGGAATATATGTTAACCATTACATATCTTACAGAAACTAAACTTATAGATGGAATAGGGTTAACAGGGAATAAGGACTATTTCAAAGCTTTTTAAAATTGTGTTTTTAATATTGCTGAATCTCATAACATTCCTGATTTACCCCAGATGTGAAGCCTCTATAGTCCACCACAGTTGCACACAGTTCTGTGTGTTTATCCTCTTTTTTAACATATTAAATTTATCCTCTTACTATCCTAGTCTGTGGCCACGCTCAATAGGAAGGCCAGATGTTTGATAGGAGATAGCCAAATAAAATTTTACTGAAATTGGATTGCAGAATAATAGGTGTAAAAGCTTTACAAATAGCACACAGGGAATAGATTTTATACAGGGGACAGACAAGTTCCCTAATTTGAATCATCAGTGAAATCTGAAAAGTGTTCTGAAGAATACTTAATAAGGTATTCTACCTTTCCCTCTATCTTATTACATAAATAACTTATCCATTGACTATGTCCCATTATTCTCAAGTTTGTTAGATTACAGATGCTTTTGGTCTTCTTGAGTAGCTTTTCAATGGTTTTACCTAAAAATATAAATAGGTCAGAACTCTGATCTCAGAAATTGGTGAGTACTACTTTTTACCATTCTATGTGTTGGCATTAATAAGCCAGGTTTTAGTTATCATTTAAAAAAACATTTTTGTTGTCCTCTCTCATTTTCCTATGCCTCATCCCCAATTCTTCTACAATATATGATACTTTTCAATTGAAAAATTATACTTCAGTGGCTGGAAAAATGGCTAAGCTATTAAGAGACCTTGTTGCTCTTCCAGAGGTTCTGGGTTAAGTTTGGTTCCTAGAACACAAGTCAGACAACTCCACTAAAAGTGATTTCAGTTCCAGGAGATCCGACACCCTCCTCTCCTCTGTCCTTTGTGGACATCAGACAGAATACACATAACATTGCAAATATTCACACAGACACACAAAAATATAACAAAATAAAGATTATGCATCTACTTAGGTAGTCCATTCTTTTTCCAACATCACAAATCCAGGATACCCCTTTAGTGCCTGCATTTAGCAAGTATGTCTTCAACAGTTCTTATTTGTTTACATATCTCCTACTGGTTTTTTCCCAGTAAAATAAAAATTATCTCTGTATAGGTAATGGTTGGAGGTTGCAGCATAGATGTAATATCCAGTTTACTCTGGCAAAAAGTTATTTCCAAAAAGCTAAGGAAAAACAGCAAGCTAGAAATTACAAAAGGGGAATGAAATGAAATTTTCATTTTTTTAAAATATTTATTTCTCACAACATTGTAGGACAAAACAAGATTTTTTGAAGTTCATTGCATGCTTGTGCATACTAGATTAAGCATATACTGTCTCGATATATTTTTCATGTCAAGAGCACTCCATGCTATACCCTAATATCAAGCAATGTAAAAATAGAATGGCCCTACTCAGAGTCAAAGTTTCCAGAGGAGGCTACACCAAGACACCAGTCAATCCAAATTTCAGAATTAAAAGAGAGATGATATTCATCTTATAGAGTTATCTAAATTCAAATTGTTTGGAACAGAAAGTGGTTCATATTTTAGAGATTTATGTTTTTAGAATATTCTTTTACACATTACTCGTTGAGCATTCATAATCTAAAAATCAAAAATCTAAAATGTAACAAAATCTAATATGGTCCAAAATCTAAAACTTTAACATATCATATGAGGCTAGAAATAATTTTAGATTTTAGAGCAATTTCAGATTTTCAGAATATGGATACATAGTTGAATTAGTTATGATGCTGATAAGACAATTTATGTTCTTTAGCAACTTATTTATATGCTCACTTTTCTTAGTTCTTCAAACAGGTCATTTTGATCTTTTTGTTTTATTATTTATTTTTCTATATGTGTATGAGCATTTTGCGTGCATGTATTCAGATGCAGCTTGTGTCCAGTGCCTGTAGGAGCTATAAGACAGTGTTAGATCTGCTGAAACTGGAGTTACATAGAGTTATAAGTTGCTATATGGGTCCTAGTAACTAAATTCAGTTCATCTGCAAGAGTAGCAAGTACTCTTAAGCACCAAGACATCTATCAATCCCCATGCGAATCCTTTTAAAATCTTCACATGCATGTTTTTACTATTCATAGAACATTTCACAACAAATCCCATCCTGGACATGTGGACACACATGCACATACATGTCTAACAGCACTTCCTCAGAAAGGAAATTTTTCAACATCACACTATATTGCTCTTTATTTTGTTGCACCAAAACATTTTTATAAAGTTTGCCTTTCATCCTTCATACAGTTCCATGAAACTCATGCTCATATGTAGATATATGTATCAGCATGTTAAAGTCTATTTTCAGCATTTCACTCTAAATTACAGAGCATTTCTTTGTTTTACAGTATAAAGCCAGGAGTAAGAGCTATGTATTTACAACAATTTATTGAATTTGACAATGCATGGATGATTCATTTTAGTTACCATTTTATTACCTTACTTCGAAATAATTAGCATGATATCAGTATTATTTTATGGAATGACTAGTAGGCTTTGGTCATTTTACTTACAAATAAACTAACCTTTATTTATTTTTCCTTTTATTGAAAATAGATATTTTTTCACACATAATGTATCATGATTAAATATTCCCCTGCCTTTACTCTTCCCAATTCCTCCCCAAACTTCTCCCATATGGACCCACTCCCTTTCTGTCTCTCATTAGAAAACAAACAGGCTTCTAAAGGATAACAATAAAATATAATAAAATCAAACAAAAATTAACATATCAGAGTAGACAAACAGAAGGAAAAGAGTCCAAGAAAGGGCACAGGAATCAGGGACCCACTTGTTCACATCCTCAGGAATCCCATCAAAACACTAAAATATATATTCAGAGTACCTGGCATAGCCCCATGTGGCCCTTGTTCATGCTATTTCAGTCCCTATTAGCTCATTTGAACTTTGGTCATGTTGATTTACAGGACCTCATTTTCTTGGGTCCTCCATCCTCTCTGGCTCTTACATTCCTTCTGCCTGCTTTTCCTTGCAATACACTGAGTTCTGAGGGGAGAGATTTGAAGGAGATGTTTCACATAAAACTGTGTGTGTTCCACAGTCTCTCTCTTTGTATAATATCTGGCTATGGGTCTCTGTATTTGTTCCCTTCTCCAGCAGGAAGAAGCTTCTTTGATGATGGCTGAGCAAGGAACTGATTTATGATTATAGTAGAATATCATTCATAGATAAATTAACTCTTAAATATAGAGGAACAGGCTACTGGCTTGTGAAAAATAGTTTCCTTTAGTGAACAAAGTAAACACTGATTATATATTTTACTAATACTGAACTAAAATATTCAAGAAAAAATTTCCTCAGAAATTTCCACATTGCCAATTAGGATAATTGTGCCCCATTCACTGCTGCATTCCGAGAGCTCTGAGCAATGCATGACATTCTCTGGGTAGGAACACAATAAATATTTATTGAATGAGTGCATGAATCGTTATTTGCCTTATCTAGCATATTCTCCTCTCAGTGTATTAGCCATTATTCTTCCAAAACAAAAAAATCTCTTTATGTTATATTTATTCAACCTATTTTTGAGGCTACATTCTATTATTAAATCATTTATTAATTATTATATGGAAAATATTTATCTCATGCTAATCCAGAAGACATTCATGCATTTACTCTTTCTTTGGAACATGAATATCACATATCCTTTTTGCCTCACTCTAATGTCTAATTACTATCAGCAGATTTTTTGTATCTTAACATTTATACTTGTTTTTATAGTATATCTACTTGAAAACATTCATCCCCTGTGCCCCAAAATAATGCAAGAACTAGATAAAATTACTCATACTAAAAATATATTTGGTAATTATGGAACAGATGTCAAACCATCTCTTGTTTCTATGAACTAAGAAACATCAAAATTGCCCTATTAATACTTTAGGAATATAGGATATTAGAAAGCAAATATATGCAATTTGAAACTGTCTTCATCAATACTGTCATTATTTTGGAAGCCTTGCTATTAATAAAGGGCTAGAACAATGCAACTTCAAAAATCAAATAATCAAAATGACAATATTTAAATCAAGTTTGTTCTGTGGCTGTCCATGTGATACCAAGGAGATATGTGACTTTACAAAAGTCACTTCTCATTTAGAGTAAGGGTAGCGAAGGGTAAGGTAAAATACCCCAAAACTTCATGTAAGCCCATAAGTACACAAATATTTACCAAATAAGAATCACATGCTTTTTAAACTAAGGTTTTGAATTTTATAGATTATATAATTAGTTGGTACCTTGTTTGGGAGTACATATTTATTGGTATTTTCATAACTATCTCTAAAAGTCATCACTATTACCCTTTAAATAGATTATGACAGATAAGAAATGTAGTGAGAAGTTTTCCTGTGTCCCAGCCAGCAGGCAGTCAGGACAAATCTCTCCCACTCATGACCGCCAAGTAAACACACAGAGGCTAATATTAATTATAACTGCTTTGCCATTAGCTCAGACTTATTACTGACTAGCTCTTACATTTAATTTAACCCATAATTCTTATTTATGTTTAGTCACGTGGCTTGGTACCTTTTCTCAGTTCTGCCTTGTCATCTTGCTTCCTCTGTGTCTGGCTGGTGACTCCTGACTCAGCCTTCCTCTTCCCAGAATTCTCCTCTCTGCTTATCCCCCCCGCCATACTTCCTACCTGGTGACTGGCCAATCAGCATTTTATTTATCAACCAATCAGAGCAACACATATTCACAGCATACAGACAACATCCCACAGTAATGAAAGGAAATATTTTTAGTATCAGTACAGTTTTACAGCTATAATTAAACAATTTGAGAGAAAACCAGAAAATTGCTCATCATCACAAAAGCATTAGGTGTGTAGTGTTGCTTAATTCAAGTCATCTGTTTCCACTTAAACACTTTGAATAGACTCCCTACCTCTAACAAGGCATGATTTAGGGCACGAAGCTGCTAATCAACCTAATACCCAGTTCTCTGTTCCTCGATTATTTACTCCACTGGCAGTCAATTTCATTAACCCCCCTCCTGTGTTATAATTTGCTCTGCCACATGTTCAGGAAAAAATATTTTCTAAGTGTACAATTATGTGACCATAGTAAATGACAAGTATTTTCAGAAATTCACCAAGGAGAGGAACTCTTGACACCTAACCTATTTGAGCTAACTTTAAAATAATGAGGATTTCTATTAGTCTATTTGCATGAGAATTTTAAACTTTCAGATTCCCATTAAAAACATACTGATAGCTAAGAACTTGGCACATCAGGGCATCTCATGATATTTGCATTTCAGAAATGGATCTTATAACACAATATTGAGGAAAAATTCTACAGCACAGTGCAGAATTCAGGCATCCAGTGCCTTAGTAAATATCAGCAATACTGATTTTATCTAAAAGATGTAGCAGTTCTAGCTATAATTGGGTTATGTCCTTACCAACTGAAGAGTTTAACTGCCTCTGTAGGGTTGAAAACAATTACTGGGGGCTTTTCAATGTATGTAGTCACTGGAGGGAAAATTACCTAGTGATTTGAGGCTTAGTAAAGATAGGCCCAAAGCAGGTACTCTGTGGGACAGCTGCCACCCACAGAAGAATGCCCTTGTAAGCTTATCTAACAACTAGGCTGTATCATAGAATTTTTCCAACTACACAGGCACTAAATGAAACATATAGACAGATATATGACATTATGGCTTTGTCTATTTCAAAATTAGTCAAATGATAAAACTGTCAAAGAATCTACAGTTTTCTCTACGTGTTTAGGTCATCTGAGTAATAGTTTAAACTGCTGAACAATTTTTTTCAGACTCTCCCTCAACTCATTTGATTAGATACATCTTGCAAAAAGATATGAATAAAGGCACTATGAACAGCAATGAATAAAGATGACATTCTTGTCCCCTCAAGTTGCATAGAATCTATTAGAAAGATATATAAACAGATTCAACATGTGCCAAGAAGTAGGTAAAGGATATTATGGCAATACTTAGGCAAGCATTCAAACAGTGTGGATTGTTCAGAAAGACTACCTAGGAAAGGATAATTTAAGCTGTGTCTAGAAAAATTGCTAGTTTGCAAATTTGTTGGGTGAGAAATTAATGTATTTAAAGGAGAGTAATCATCACACATAAAACGAAGGGGGTAGCATGAACAATTAGTTGAAGATAATATACACAAGACCATATTGCGATAACAGCTTAATTTTAAGGACTAGATCATAGAAATGAGCCTGTTTCTTCTTATCTGCCTTTTTTCTGAGTCAGAAGAAAACAGTGACAATTAGTTGAGGAGTCTGAATAATTAAATACATAACACAGTTACAGTAAAAAGTAGAGGAGACAAGAGGGTCAATTCCAGCTCTAGTGTAAGAAATACTTTCCAAGATGTTTTTTTTTCCTACTTGAAGAGCTTTTCTTGTATGTTAATGTTGTGTGCAATTGATTATTTCATTGAAATTGCTGTCCTGTTTTCCTCTCAGAAATCTGAATTCACTCTGGAGATAAGAGATAAAATGTGTTGATTAGGCAAACTATTTTCTTCTATCTTTCTCATCTTTACTTCCTTCTCTCTCTTTCCTCATTTTTCAAAAACATTATAAAGCAAATCAGAAGTTCATAAACACCAGGTGAACCAATAAAATGAAGTAAAGGTAAAGGAGACTATTAAATAAAGGAGAAAAGAGAGCAATGAAGAGAGAATTAAAAGTGCCATATTAGCAAGGAAAGGATGCCATGAAACTCTATACAATATGAAAAATAGAACACAGTATTGACTCTAAGCTTTCTAGTATATATGAGGAAAGATACTGTTACATGACTACCGTTGCAAAGATAAACCATAATTCAGTAGAAGCACAACTTATTCCGTCCTGTATTTCTCCCATGTAAAGACGGTGTATTGAGTTCAATGGAGTTCATCAGAAGCTTGAGTAAATATAAAATTGTGAAGAAAGAAGAAAAAATTATAGCCTAATGCAATGATTAATGCTAAAATCTTTATTAAATGTTTACTATCTACCAATGAATAAATAAATTTACAGTAGCTTTATCTATGACTATCTCAATATTTTCTAAGTGTTCTAAATAGGTGATTCCTTTTTATCAAGATATTAGCCCGGTCTCGGTTCGATTACTTCTATAAGTGTTGTGAAATTCTATGAAGTCTTCACAAAAGGAAAAATGGATTGTGATTACTGCTCAATACTGTTTTCTGGCAAAATATACCAGGCCTTTATGCCTTTGAACTCTCCTCTGAGGTGACCTGTATCTCTCCATTTGCCTTGTATCTACCAGGCTGTCTGCACTGTAACTCGGGATTTAAAAATGAGCACTTATGCTGTAGAACAGAAAAGGATGTAATACACTGATGAGATACTGGTGTATTACTCAGTAGCTTTCCTATAGGGTGGAAGTAAATTTAAGTAAGAGAATAAGATAGGTGGTGGATGTTGTGGATCTGTTGTTGCTTTCTACCGCAGTAAATGGTATGGCATCAGTATTAGGTACCAAAGTCGTTAATTCCCTTGAAAAGTAATGAGAAGTACCGGTATTATACAGAATGAAGGTACACCTATATAATCCTAAAACACTTCTTCAATGCAGCAGTCACAATATATTCTAAGATCAGTATCTCCACTGATGACAGGGTAATTCAGAAAAATCAAATTTATTACCTAAAAAGGTATTTTTTAAAACAGTTCTGCGCATTTGAAGAAAAAAATTTGATTCAAAGGTATAAAGATATCTATCAACTCTCAGCACCTTACAGGGCAAAGCTTCAGGCAAAATCCTGTCACAATTAGATATGTTGCAGTAAAATAAGTGTGTTTCACTTGTCACCTTTGTTCTATGGTTCTTTCAGAGAGAATTGTCATATGGCTTGTCGATATTTCAATCCTAAGAAGTCATTACTTTTGAAAATTAAACTTAGATCATTAAAATGGGCAAAATATGAATTGTAAATCAGGGACAGCTACTTATACCCTGGAATTTAAAACTGGCTATTACTATATAAGAAGACAATATAGATGCATCTTCAACAATCCTTAAGAAAACAAAGTTTGTGGAATGTGAGATCGCTGGGTGAAGCAACCTCAGTATCCCTTGCAATAGCAAATAATGTACTTACTTTGGAAGGGACCCAAGCAACGTTTTTCTCTTCCAGATACATATATTTCCTGAATATGTAACTTAGTTGCAGGGTTCTGAATGTGCTCACTTACCATATTTTAATGTAGAAAACAACTAAATATCTTTTTCAGTCAATAATACTTTTCACTGTTTGTAGAGCATTATGAAGACTAAATTTTAAAGGTGACTCATGTAAAGAAATGTTACAATAAATAAAAACAAGTCCCAATAAAACCCATCATCATAATTCTCACATAAATTTCATGGGTAGTTGTCAAGGTGATGGGGACATTTCCCATGGCAGATTTGTAGGAAAACAGTTCTCAGGGGACTGACTGTTCTGTAGTATGATTGTTTCTCTCATTAAAAGTTGTCATTCTGTAACCTGCTATAGGTTCCTTATCTTTTCTGGTAGCAAGTTACATGCTTAAGAAAGCAACTCTTTCAGTGACCTAACTACTATATAACTGTAAGGCACATTTCATTCTTGTGATTCTTCCTGGATACAGGTAAAGCTAAAGGATTTCTAGACTGATATGTACTGTAAGCACCTGGGCACCTTGGTTAAGCTACCAAACTGTACATGGCTGCTTATCACCACCCATGTTGATTTTGAATAATGAGAATGTCAAATTGATGTACTGAAACTTGAATTTCTAGCCCTGATATGAATTGCAGATAGTCTCTATTTTTTTTTAAAACAGATTAATAAATTCCCCACTATGACTCAACCTTTTGACTTATGTTAACATTGTTGAAGCCAGCTGGCATCAGGTAAACCTGGATGCTTGTCTTGTTTGAGTATCAGTTTGAAAGCAACCAGGTTGTGCAGAGAGGGAAGAAAACATATAGCAGATGGGATTTTCAGAAACCCCATGATCTTTCCTCTCATGAGGATTCCACTTGAAACAAAGGATAAAAATTCTGAAAAAAATAAGAGTCATAGTGTACTAAGGCATCCAATTTCCAGTTAAAAAGAGCATAGATTTGTGAAGATTGCCAAAGTTTTTTTTACCAGGCAATGAATTATTTAATGTAGATATTGATTTGATCTCTGATCATCAAATCTAACTTGCTTTCTCCACTTAACACATTATTTTCCTTCCTTGTTGGTAATCCCTGCTGTGTTAAAGTAGGAATTAGGCTTCTAGTCAGTAAAGAGTCTTCTAAGCTCAATATTTTACCTTGTATTTCCTTATATTTTGGACTTACTGCCATCTTTCAAAACTCCTAACTGTAGTGACTGGCCCATCTATTCTCAAATCACTGCCCATTACCAGTTCACTGCCTTTTTTCTTGTGTACAGGTTGAACAATTTTCTTAAGTGGCCACTAGAAGGCACCTCATGCATAACAAAGTCCCTTTTGAACTATAAAATAACGACCAAATTTTTCACCTGTGACAAGGAGGTGCCCATTACAGTATTGCTCCAGGCTCTCTAGCACCATACTATAATGTTGGAATAAGTCTTCAAAGTGTCATACTTGTAACACTCATGTGAACTCCATTTTAATGTGTCACAAGATGAGGCTCAGGTTCACTTCTCCAATTCATCCAAAAATGTCTTTAGGTCAGTGTCAGTGTCTCAACTTGCATAATCAGAAATCTAAAATCCCTTTGCACAAATTTGCAGCAACTTTAAGGAATAAAGTTTGGTGGTATTAGAGATTTTTGTGTATAAGTGTATAGAGTAAGACCTTGCAAGGGAGTGTATCCTATGAGTAGAGTAAATGGTGATATTCTCATCCACTCATGTGAGTTAAATCCCTAATACAGAGTCTAGAACACACAGATGAGTTCATAGCCACATCTCATGCCCAATTTTCATTTTTTTATCCTTCAGAATGATCTAGATTCTGCCTATATTTTTTTTCAGTTTCCAATACCCTAGTCCGTTTCTAAAGCCTTAGTTTTCTAAATCTTCTTTCTGCTCCCATACTTTCCCTCTGAAATCTATTCCTCACGTTACAGCCAAAGTGAAAGTATGAAACACAAAATATTAATACCTTTCAGCTGGTGGAAGGATGCACACCAACATCTTTGATTTGATTTCTGATGACCTCAAATGATTAATCCTTTTGCTCTAGCCTGAAATCCCTAAATCTCCTCATACTTTTTGGTGCTCAAGCCACGCGGGCCATTAGCCAGTTTTTGCACTTTTCATGATCTTTATTCCTTGGGGATTTTCTATGTGCTGCTCCTCCTGCATTGGCTGCACTTCCATTTCCAGCTTCTGCTTCATCTGTTTAACTTCCATTTAACATTCATATTTCTGCCCAGATGTCTTTAAGGAATTATTTCTTAGTCATCCCCCTTCCCTGTACCCAAAAAGATCATATCCCTGTGCTCTGTATTATAATAGCTCTGGGTACCTTTCCTTATTATCAGCTCCATTATAATCAACATTTTATATTTAGATTGATGTCTGCCTCCTTTGTTAGGCTATTAACTAAAGGAATGAGCTATATTAAATCACAATTTTAAGTCCAAAGCCACAAAGTATAGGACTCAATGTGGATTCATAAATTGATGAAGGGAAGAATAAATCAGTAAACAAAAAACTAGATACCCAAAAGAAGCTGTTAGGCACTAAATGCTAATCTACACTGAGTCATGATTAAACAATCTTTCAACTGCATGTGTGGTTTCTACAAACTTGTAATGGATTTTCCAGGAGATACAGAGTTTTAATCAAACACAGAAAAATAACCCAAGTATCATCTATTACTCTTATTTTTCAATTACAAATGAAAGCAAAGACACAGAAAGAAAATGAGTTTGTACTATTTAAGAAATAACAAGAGCTCAAGGAAAATCTTCTAAAAGTTAAAATGATAGAAAAACAAATTAGGTACATTTATAGTTTGGACTCTTGCAAATATTATGAAAACATCATTCACTGAGACAAATTTCATGTATAAGCCAGTAAAAAGCTAATAAGTATAATTGTGTATTGCATAGGAAATAGCAGATGGAACTAATTGGCTTGACTTTTAATGTTTTAAAATATGGTCATTTATTCATCATAGACAAATACTTGAAACAAACCAGTATGCAGCTAAATGAGAATGGCTAAGTAAATTGTATTATATACATACAATACAACACTGTTTGGCAGCAAAGATAAGGGGACTGTTGATGCACAAAAGCAATCTACAAAATTATAAAACCTTTTCCAATCTTAAAAAAAATCACCTTTGACAAATTAGAAATAAAAGGAAAGTATGCCAATATAATAAAGCCTATATATGCTCAATTGTGAAACAATCAAAGCTTTTTCCTCTAGGATCAGAAGTAAGATAATTTTCTCTACTCAAGGAAATACCAGAGTTACTAAGGTAGAAACAGAAATAAAAGCCAGGAATCCAATTTGAACAAGAGAATTAATCTTTGTTTATAGATGGCATGATCTTGCATGTGAAAAACCCAAAAGTACACAAAGGTATACTAAACCATTTAAAGAACTTGCAAAATTGTAGGCACAATGTTATGATCATCCTATGTTCACTAAAGTAATAATAGGAATAGGAAAGTAAGAAAGAATACACTTATAGCAACATCAAAAAGAAAGAATAATCACTTCAGATTAAGCTCATCCGAGAAAAAAAATAGACTAAAAGCTACAAAACTTCTGGGGAGCAAAGAAATAAATTAACGAGCTTTTTAGAGCCCAGTGCCTACAGTGGGACACCTTGTGCAGCCGTGGTGCAGTGTGGAGGGCTTGGACCTGCCTCAACTGAATGTACCAGGCTTTGCCGACTCCATTCCCCGTGGGAGACCTTGACTTGGAGGAGGTGGGAACGGGCGGTGGGTTGGGGTGAAGACTGAGGGGTGGGAAGAGGGAGGAGGGGGGATCAGTGGTTGGTATGTAAAATGAATAGAAAATTTCTTAATAATAAAAAAAATTGAAAAACATTCACTCTGTTCATGTAATTGAAAATTTACTATGGGTAAAATGTCAGAATTATCCAAAATAATCTAGATTCAATGAACTTCCTATCAAAATACAAACAGCACTTTCTGCATACATATTAAAATTCATATGAAAACCAGAAGAATTCTAAGTACACAAAATGATATTAAACAGAAGGAACAAATTTGGAGGTCTCATATTTTCCAACTCAAGACCTATTAAGAAAGCCAGGTGTAGTAGAGAGCATTCTGTAACCCCAACACTTGATAGATGGAGGCAAGAGCATCAGATTTCAAGGTAATAACAGACTACACAATGAGTTTGAAGACATTCTGAGCTGGAAGAAAATGAATGATTAATTAATTATAGTAAAATTATATTACTCAAGAGATTGTCATAGTAGCATTAACACAGTCATATAAACCAAATAATAGGCATTCCAAAAATAAACACATATATCAAGAAGTATATGACAAAAAGTGATGTTATCTATGTGGAAAAGAATGAAAATAAATTCTTAGCTTACCCAATATACAAAAATCAAGCTTAAAAAATTGAAAGATCTAAGTGAAAGACCTGTGAAAATATTACTTCCAGGAAAAAAGAAAGGAGATAATAGTCATGGTATTTGATCTGGAAATGATCTGGAATATGATATACTCAACCTTCAATATTTAGGACAAATATTTAAAATCATCACTTTATAAACAAAATGGTTTATCTTTAGTCATAAATTTCAGTTATCTCAATTCATGATATGTCAGCTTCATGGTTTGGAAGCTTGAGAAGAAGCACTACATTATGGTCACAGTATATGACAGATCAAAACGTTCCCCTCTTGACCAAAATGGAGAAAAAGAGAAACTTGGGTTTTTATTTTTTGTTTTTTAATTTAAAATCTTTCAGGTTTCCACGAGTGATAATATTTTTGTAGAAAACACTGTTTATATTTTAATAGGAACTCCATCGTGCTCTCAAGAGGCTACTTAAAGTTTAAAAAGAGATCATGTAGTTCAGGACACACTGGCCCTAAATATGACATCCCAGTCTAGCAAGCAATTTTAACTGGAGGAAATAGAAAAATACACATATGTGAGACCTCAGAGCTGACTTTCACCCATCCACCTTGTCTCCTAAAAGGGATCATTGAAATTAGAATTCCCCTTGCCAAGTTTCCCATGAAGAAGATCCACAATCTTTATTCCAGGGCAATCCTCCCTGCAGGGGACCCCTCCCTTTGAAGGAAACAAAAGAAGGTTAAGACAGAGAAGAACCTTAACACCCAGTCCTTTCTAAACAACAACTCCCCATACAGTTTATAGACATTAGAGCATGTCCCCTTGTCTTCCAAACATACTTGTATATACATTCTACAAAATTCCACAGTTTTTTGTATTTATTCAGGTCATTAAAGATTCTCATGTAATAGATAACATGCCAAATAAATGTGTAAGTTTTGCTCTTGTCAACTGTCTTTCAGTATAGAGGAATAAACATGAACCTTTGCATGGTGCATAAAATATTTTCCCTTTCCTTCTTTAAAAAATCAAAAGTATATTTGCAACTGTGGGAGAGATGACGACTTTATGAAAAAAAAAGGCAGGCAAGTGATTTAAGGAAATTGTTGTCCTTGTTATTATATTACAGACGTTTACAGCTGCTGATTTACATAGGTATTAAATTTTGTCAGAAGACATTTTGTACATATGATATGTGCATTTCACTATGTAAATTTTACCTCTTGAAAGGGAACATGAGTAAATATTTAACTTCACTTAATGATATGTATTCTGTGCAGTTGAGTGTACAGATATCAGCAACTTCAAAATGTGCCAAAATATATCAGACTTTGTGTCTGAATGAATGAATGTAAAGTGCTCATATAAGTGATAAAACAAATATGTTAAATGTTAGTTGTAGATTACAGGTGACCAGTGTACAGACTATTATATAATTCCTCGATTTTTTTAAATTTATATTTCAATTTTTTAAATGAAGTGTAACGAAGGTTACAGTGAATGTACCTAGAGGACACACTTATGAGAGCCCTTATTATACCTTATATACACCCCAACTGCATTTTTTATCCGATATGGCTTTCATTAGTTTTATCATCCTAATTTTCACACTATACTATATACATTGAAGAATGAGTCAATGTAACCTACCTTTTCCTGAAGCAAAACTCACTGTCATGTAGTTTATAATTTACAAAGAAGTGAGCAGTACACTGCTATGCATTCATTCAGTTGAGAAACATTACCTTGGTTCTCAGAGCTTTCATTCTTGTGTGCTTTCCGTGATTCACAGTACCATGTATGTGCTTTACCTACATCCCTTCATTTCAACTTTCAGACCGTTCACAGATTTTGAGCTATTGCTTAAGTAGTAAGAGTAAAGTGTCGAAGCAGAGTGCTAGAGAGGTCTCCAGAAATCCACAAAGATACCTCCAACTGTAGACTACTGGCAATGGTCAAGAGAGTGCCTGAGCTGACCTGCCCTGGTGATTGGATGGCGGAACACCCTAGCTGTCATAATAGAACTCTTATCCAGTGTCTGATGGAAGCAGATGCAGAGATGCACGGCCAAGCCCAGGTGGAGCTCTGGGATTCCAATCGGCAAGAGAGATGTTGAGACCCTGGTTGGAGGAAGCACAGGGACAAATAGCCAAACTAGTGGAAGCACATTAACTGTGAACCAAAGGCAGAGGACCCCCCATGGAACTGGACCAGGCCCTCTGGGTAAGTGAGACAGTTGATTAGCTTGAACTGTTTGGGAGGCCCCCCGGGCAGTGGAGCCAGGACCTGTCCTTGGTGCATGGGCTGACTTTTTGGAGCCTGGGGCCTATGCTGAGACACTTTGCTCAGCCTTAGTGTAGGGAGGAGGGGACTGGACCTGTCTTGGCTGAGTCTGCAAGGCTGGGCTGACTCCACAGGGGAGACCTTGCCTTGGAGAGGTGGGAGTGGGGGGTGGATTGGGGGGAGGAATGGGAGATGGGAGGAGGGAGGACGGGGGAATTCATGGCTGTTATGTGAAATTAAGTTAATTATAAAATAAAAATACTATAAAAAAGAGTAAAGTGTCTTTTACTTTACTAAGTAAGTTACCTAAGATTAGCGCAAGCCAATTAGTGGTAGAATTGGTGTCTGGCTTGTAACTCAGAAATCCATTTTCTCAACCAATTTAACCTCTGATCTGACTAAAAAATTCAAGATTTCTTTCTTTTTTTTTTTTTTTCTTGGTGAAGTTTTGGAATCAGTGGCACAAAGAGAAATGAGTCTGTGGTCAGTGAGGAAGACCAGGTAACAATTAACAATTAATTGCTTATATCTAGAAAAATCATAATGGCCAGCCTGTCTATTCAGTAAGCTGTATAGGAATTCGAAGGCTCTTTCTACTAAGGGTACACATACATACATATATACATACACATACACACACACACACACACACACACACACACACACACACACACACACACACACAATTCCCAAGTTAACTGCATTCATCAGTCAAGGAAATCAAAGAAAAAGCATTTTTTTCCTCTTTAGCTGTGCTGGCTCTATTGGGGAGGGCACTTGAGTGCATTCTTTTGTAAATGATTGCTTTGCCTCAGGAGAGAGATTAATTGGTTTCTATGGTCAGCTACCCTTCTTAGAGAAAAATCTGTCAGGAGAAGAGAATAGAGAAAGCAAACTCTCTCTCTCTCTCTCTCTCTCTCTCTCTCTCTCTCTCTCTCTCTCTCTCTCTTTCTCTCTCTCTCTCTCTCTCTCTCTCTCTGTGTGTGTGTGTGTGTGTGTGTGTGTGTGTGTGTGTGTGTGTGTGTGTCCCTTTTTTAAAGCAGTACTGAGAATTTTGGAAGAAAATCCCTGTGTGCATATGTGGCAAGCTTCTTATTCATCTTAGCCTGCATAAAAATTGGTTTCAAAATTGGTATAGACAGGTTGGTAGATTTTGCAGTGTCTAAAGGAATAGATTTCTCTAATTATATTAATTTATATTTAAAAATAAACTTTAGTACAGTAATTAAAATTAATTGAGTACATACTCTGAACCGAGCTATATACTTCAAGTTTTACAAGATTCTGTATTAAAATTTCACGAGTTTATGAAGATAACATATTAGTCACACCATTCAAATGAAAATGTATATCATCAACATAAAATACTTCCTTAGCATCACAGAGGAAGTGGTGGCACTCACATTGCCCAGATAACATAGTTTGGAGTCCACATAATGAATTTTCGTAATACCAAAAACATTAATTCAGTCCTAGCCTACAAGAATTAAGAAGACAGTATTATCCTAATAAAATATTCAGCCGTTCAAAGGCAGATGGGATGAAGTACTTGCAAGATGTTGATTATGATAATAAATATATAAATAAAATGATGATATATATTTAACCAGAATATTGAAGAAATTTAGAATGCAAAAGTAAAATCACTAGACTGTAGGAGCCTGGAGAAGTATCAAGAGACTATATGAGATCCAGCCTGCAGGACATAGTTATAGGATGAAATCTTTGAATTAGAATCTTGCAGTGTTCCACAACTTGGAAGTCTGAAGGGAAGACTACTCTGGAGTAGACCTATAGTCAGGGATCAGGACCACACATTTCCAGGCTCTTGGCCTCTTATTTAAGGAACTAAAATAAAAGCCCTCACAGATTTACAAAAGTAGCCTGGAAATTTTATTTAAATCAAAGACCAGAATACACTGCAAGGGAACAGTCAACGTAAGTGAAGATAATCCAAGGCCCTGTTTATTGCTTATGGCTTTCTTTAAAATAGAGTTCAAGAGGAGGTTGGTTACCAAGAGGTACAGTGAGGGTATTTCGTTTTTTCTCTTTTATTTTTGACAATTTTGTACACGTATAAACTGATCTGTTTTGACTGCTATATTAGGTAAGCAGTTTTTTCTATTGTGCATGTCCTTTCACATAGTGTATCTGATTTTACTCATATAAATGTCCAATTATGAATACGCATAAAATGATAAATAGGGCAATCACCCTAAAAAGTCATTTGAAGACAGTTTGTCTTATTGTTGACACACCCCAAACCAGTTCAGGCCAAATTGGGCTTTGTATTCTTGCTATCAGATACATTAGTACCATGGAAAGAAAGAAAATTTTGAAGTTTGGTATTCATGAAGGGAAGAGAAACTCCCCACCTTGTTTTGGAAATGCAATGCATATGTACCACAGCACATGGCTATCTGGGTTGCTAGGTACATTGTTTAGAGAAGAGTATCTATGCATAGTACATGCATTATTAGAAGATGGCAGTGTTAATAACCCAAGGTGCTGTCCCAGGTTGCTCTCTGCTTATCTGCCTCAGACCTCATTGAGACAAATCTTGCAAGGATACCCTGCCCACATGAAGGACAGCACAGAATTGGAACAAGCAATTGCTTCCCATGCACCCAAGGGTCTGTAAAGAGATTGGACCAACAACAACTACAAGGTTACGAAAGATAGCAAAGAGACATGCCTGGCAGGTGCACTCTCACAAAAATACCACAGAGAAGCAAGCCCAGCAATCATATTCCACCCACCAAGGAATCTAGGCCTGGAATCCCATGAGGGACCTCAGCAAAGCCTACTCAGTACCTCTATAGCATTCATCAATGAACCACAGAAACAGAGCAAGCACAAAGGACTGTACAAGGACAAAAGACCTGGCTCACATGCACCGGTGAGGGACTGCGTACAGACTCTGCACCACTACATCATTTCTCATTTCTCTTACTTAATATATAATTTCAATTTATTAGACCAGTTATGCCCTGATCTGTTCTCCTTTATCCTTTGTGTGTATGTTTGGGGGTTGGAGGGGCACTCCCAAAGACTATTATATGGCCTGAATTTAAGGATCTCTCTGCTTTGTCCTCCTGGGTTTCAGGATTGTTTTAAGTTGTTCTTCCTTGCTTCGCCCTCCTGAGTTTCGGGATTGTTTTAAGTTGCTTGATTGACACTTTTTTTTTCACCTCTTTCTCATCCCATAGTTTATCTTCAGCTGTATCTATCTTACCTCTTCCCTTTGTCTTTATTGTTCCTGTCATCTATTTACTTTTCTGTCTTTTATTTTTCTTTATTGCTCTAATACTAATTTCTTTCCATTCTCTCTTATTTAGGGTTTCTACTGCTGTGAAGAGGCACCATGACCACAGCAACTCTTATAAAGGAAAACATTTAATCAGGGCTGGCTGACAGGTTCAGCAGTTTAGTCTATTATCATGATAATGGGAAGCAAGGTAGCATCCAGGCAGGCAGGCAGGCAGACATGTCCCTCGAGAGGCATCAGGAAGAGAGTGAATCACTGGGCATGGCTTGGGGATTTGAAACCCCAAAATCCACCACCACCACCACCCCCCCCGCAGTAACACACTTCCTCAACAAGGCTACACCTATTCCAAAAGGTCATACCTCTTTATGCCACCTCTAAGCATTTAAACATATGAGTTTATGGGGGGGGGTATTCTTATTCAAACCACCAGCTATTCCTACCCTTAATAACTAATATCTTAGTGTACATCATTCTATGTTTGCTCTTAAATTCCCCCCAAAATTGTTGCTCTGAAACAGTGCTTCTCAATCTTCCTGATGCTGTTTGCAACACTAGGAAGTTCTCTTTAATACAGTTCCTCATGTTGTGGTGTCCCCCAACCATAAAATTATCTTTGTTGCTGCTTCATAACTGTAATTTTGCTAGTTATGCATCATAATGTAAATATCAATGTTTTCCGATGGTCTTAAGCAACCCCTATAAAAGGGTTGTTCATCCACCAAAGGGTTGCAACCCACAGGTTGAGAACCAATGCTCTGGAAGAAAGAATTATTCCTAACCAATATTACTGTTTTCATAGTGGGTAAAGAAAAAGTCGTAATACTCAGGCATTAAATAAAACTTACAATTTTAGGGGAACAGACACATACAAGATTAATAAGGGGAAAGCAGTAAATAGTTACTGACAGAAGAGAAACCCTGACCAGCTGACCTGCCTGCAAGTCATGTAAGGAGTCCAAGGCTACATGTTTTGCTCCTTTGTTTGTTTTTGTTTTTATAAATTGTCAGCCATGCTGGGATGGACATTTTTGTGATGAAAATGCCTTTGTGTCACCTATCCTATTATTAACTCTCTCTTCCTTCCCAAATAGAGTACTTCAATTCAAAAGAAATTTCTATACAACAGCATGGACAGCAGTAGATGCCCAACATAAAAAGAACTCAATGGCATCTTTGAAGATATTGTCTCATAATGTTTGGTTAAGGCATATATTGGCTGATTTTGTGTGTAAACTTGACACAAACTAGAATCATCAGATTGGAAGGAGTCTCAGTTGAGGAAATGCTTCCATGAGATCCAGCTTTAAGGCATTTTCTCAATCAGTGATCAATGGGGAAGGGCCCAGCCCATGGTGGGTGGTGCAATCCCTAGGCTGGTTGGTAGTCTTGAGTTCTATAAGAAAGCTGGCTGAGTAAGCCAGGGGAAACAAGCCAGTAAGCAGTAGCCTTCCATGGATTCTGCATCAGCTCCTGCCTCCAGGTTCGTGCCCTTTTTGAGTTCCTGTACTGATTTTCTTCTGCGATAAACAACAATGTGGAATTGTATCCCAAATAAACCTCCCCAACTTGCTTTTTGGTCATTGTGTTTTGTCACAGTAACAGAAATCCTAACTAAGAAAGAGCATTTTAATTTTTAACCCTACAGGTCCTTTGCCTATATATTATGACTTCCATCTGTGTGTTTTTGTGGGATTCCTGTGTGTGCAAGCATGCGTGTCTCTGTGTCTAATATGTGTTTCTTAAGCTTTTCTATGGCTCTTTTTCTACTGTTTGCTTTTTCCTATTCTGATTTGTTTGTTTTTTGTCTTGCTTTATTTTATTTTATTTTATTTTATTATTCTTTAGATGGCTGTTTGTTTTCCAATGAAAAGCAAAGAAAGTTTGTTAATTCAGATGGGAGGCAAGGTGGGGAGGATCTCGTAGGAATTAGGGGAGGGGAAACAATAACAAAAATATGTTTTGTGAAACGAATCTATTTTCAATAAAAGAAAAATATGGGGGAAAAGTACGTACTGCTTCTATACAGGACACAAGCTAGGTTGTAAGTATACATATCAGTTGCCTCAAAACTGATGGTCACACCAGCTCTGGGGAATCAATGGTTCTCTTCCACCCTCCATGAGTACACATGGTTAAGTACACAAACCCACAAACAAACACATATAATTTAAAAATAAATTAAACCTAAAAGAGGACTAACTTTATGAATCATGTGCATGCAAGAGAAGAAAGTTCAAGCTAAAGGCATTGAAAGTATATTTGACAAAAAAAAGCAGAATATTTCCCAAATCTGGTGAAAAAGAATACTCTCCAGATAGAGGAGGCATTGAGAATGCCAACCTGATAAGACTAGAAAAGAACCTCTGATGGGGGAAATGTCTTTCTGTATGCTGCAAATATGTGTTGCTCTGATTGGTTTATAAAGAAAGCAGTTTGGCCTATGGCAAGGCAGCTTAGTGGCAGGTGGGAAATTCAAAGGGAGAGACCAGAAGAAGGCATGGGGGAGATGCCAGAGAGCCGCCCAAGAAGCAACATGTAATGGAACGCAGGTAAAGCCATGGAACATGTGGCAATACATAGATTAATAGTTATGGGTTAATTTAAGATCTAAGAGCTAGCTAGCAAAAGACTTGAGCCATGGCCATGCAGTTATAATTAATATAAGCCTCTGTGTGTTTACTTAAGGAATGCAAGTGGGAGATATTTGTCCCAACTGCAGACAGGTCGGGAAACAGGAAATCTTACTACAAACCACCCCCATCATATTATTGTTAAGATGCTGAGTATGTATAATACAGAAGAAATGTTGAAAGATACAAGTTGGGCAGTAGTGGTACATGACTGTAATCCCAGCACTCAGGAGGCAGAGGCAGACAGATCCCTGAGTCACAGACTGATTTCAACATAATATTATAAAGCAATTTGTTACACATTTAAGAAAATTGAAATAATTTTTGCATTGTATTTAATCACAATGAAGTAAAACTTGAAATTAACAGGAGAAACAATGGAATATACACATAGTTGGGGAGATTTATTTTTTTATTTAAATTTTTTTTTATTCTTTTTACACACAAACCACAGATCCCCCTCTCATCCCTCCTTCCACTCCTCCTCAGCCTCCCCCCGCAATCTACCCTCCTATTCCCTCCTCCAAAAGGGTAAATCCTCCCATGGGGAGTCAGAAAAGCCTGGTACATTCAGTTGAGGCAGGACCAAGTAACCACCCCCTACATCAAGGCTGAGCAAGGCATCCCACCATAGGTAATGGACTCCTGAAAGCCAGCTCATGCACCAGGGATAGATTTTATGCAATTCAATGATGTGTCACCAAAAACAAAAAGGAAGGAAATTAAGAAATTTTCAGAATTGAATGAAAGTTAAATACACAACATACCAGAATTCCTGGGGTACACAAAATTCAGTTCTTGGGGGCTGGAGAGATGGCTCAGTGGTTAAGAGCACTGGCTGCTTTCCCAGAGGACCCGGATTCTAAGTAGTAAGTTTATATGCATACACTGACATATAAGTGAAATCTAAAAGTGAAAGAAAAAAAAAACAATGTTTTAGTTTCCTCTCTTGAAGAAAAGGCAACTTAGAAGAGGAAAGGATTCATTTTACTTATATTTCAAGAGCACAGGGCAGGAATTCAAGGCAGTAACCATGGAGGAATGATGTTTGCTGCCTCATAGGCTCATTCTTAGCAGTCTTTCTTATACAGCCCAGGACAACCTGCCCAGAGAATGGTGTTACCCACAGTGGACAGGACCATCCCGCATCAATTAAGACAATTTCCCACAGTCATACTCCCAAGTCTAGGTAATTCCCCAAGGATATGTCCTTCTCAGATGACTCTAGGTTGTGTCAGTTTCATAAATAACTAGCTAAGATAATGATTCACTACAAGATCAGTAAAAAAAACAGCATCATAAACTCAAAATCAATAGATGAAAACAAATGATAAAATCAAAAGGAGAAAGAAATGAAACAAATGAAAAGAATAAAAATGAACAAGATTGAAAAAATACCTTACCAAAAGAAAAAGAATACCCAAATTAATAAAATTAGAAATAAATTAAAATAAAATAAAAAAGAGACATTAAAATAGATAGCACTGAATGCAGAGAATGATTAAGGCATGTTTTAAAAAGTTATACTCCAGTAAATGGAAAAACCTACAAAAAGGACAAATTCCTATATAGACATTGTCTTAATTAGGGTCTCTATTGCTGTCAAAAGACATCATGACCATGGCAACTCTTGTAAAGAAAACACTTAATTAGGGTGGCTGGCTTACAGTTTCAGAGATTCAGTCCATTATCATCATGGTGCTGGCTACATCTTGATAAGCAGGCCACAGGAAGTTGACTGAGACACTGGGTAGTGTACTGAGCATAGAAAATCTCAAAGCCTGCTCCCACAGTGACACCTTTCTTTCAACAAGGTCATACCCATACCAACAAAGCCATACCTTCTAATAGTGCCACGCCCTATGAGATTATGAGGTTCAATTATATTAAAATTACCACATTCTAATCTCTGGCCCCCATAGGCTTGTAACAATATCATAATGCAAAATGCATTTAGTCCAACTTCAAAATTCCCCATAATCTATAACAGTCTGAACAATGTTTCAAAGTCCAAAGTTCAAAGTCTCTTCTGAGATTCATGCAATCTCTTAACTATAACCCCCTGAAAAATCAAACTCAAAAAGTAGATCACATACTTTCAATATATAATGGTACAAGATATACATAATGCAGGGAAAGGAGCATAGTGAAGAAATGCTGGACCAAAGCAAAACCAAAAAACAGCTGTGCAAACTCCAAACTCTGCATCTCTATGCCTAATGTTGAAACATTCTTCAGATCTCCAACTCTGTTCAGGTTCATTGACGGCAATATACTTTTCTCTTGGAGTGGTTCGACTACCTGTTAACAGCTCTCCTTGGCAGGTATTCCATGGCTCTGGCATCTCTACCATCTTAGGTTCTTCAAGACAATACAGGTTTCAACTTCACAGCATCACACAATGACGTCTCTACTAGGCCTGAGTGCTTTCTTTAGGTACAGAGGCAAATTCCATAACTCATTTCTTCTATCCTAAACTCTAAAGCCAGAACTACTTGGCTGCAGTTGCCAAGTTCTGCTGCTTGCTAGGGCTGGAATATGGCCCCCTCATTCAATTGCATCCTCAACAGCTTTCTGTTCTTCATTGCCTAAACTTGGCTGTCCTGAAATTGGATCTGTAGACCAGGCTGGCCTTGAACTCAGAGATCTGCCAGCCTCTGCCTTCTCAGTGCTGGGATTAAAGACAAGCACCACCATACTCAGCTTTAAACTTTTCTTTAATTCCTATTCACAATTGGAAATTTAGCTAGGTGGGATCTTGCCCTGAGGTCACCACAACCTTTATTCCATTTCTTAATCTGTTTATCTCTTTGAACATAGAATTTAGCTCCATTCAACTCTCTGGTGCTCTTTTTCTCCTCAAGTATTTTTCTTTGCTCAGCTTGGTCCTTCTAATTATATATCTTCATTCGAGTTAACACTAGTAATCACAAAACAGAGTCTGTATTAGGCTATTTTAGATTTCCTCTGATAGTGGAATTAATCCAAAACCCTTCACTTTATCCTCAGGCAAACTCTCCAGACAAGGGCAAAAATAACTGACTTTCTTCACCAAAATATCACAAGAATGATCTCTAGGCACCATACTAAAATTCTTCTCCTCTGAAACCTCTTGAGTAAGAACCCCACAATTCATCAAATCACACTCAGCACCACTGTATTCCATGTTCCTTCTAGTATGGCCCATTAAGCAGCACTTAAAACATTCAACTTCTTTTCTAATCCACAGTCCCAAAGTCCATATTATTCCAGACAAAAACATGGTCAAGCCTATAATAGCAATACCTCAGTCCCTGAGGATTGTGCAAGTACTTTTGAACTTTGGGCTAGAAGAACTATTGAGTGTTAAGAGCTCAGTGGGGTGTTCTTTAGGAGCTTGGAAGATAAGAATGTTAAAAGCAATGAAGAAGATGGAGGCCTGACTTGTGAAATTTCAGAAGGAAGTTTAAAGACTCTATCCAGGCCATTTGTTATTTTGAATTAAGATCTGTAGTTCTGGTTAGCTGGGGCTGAAGAATCAACTGTGATTATAACAATATTCCAGAACTACTGAAGCAGTCCTGTAGTTCTGGTTAACAGGAGCTGAAGAATCAGCTGTAATTCACATGTGGCCATGTCAGAGGAGCAGCAGGTGGCAATTGAAGTTCAAGGTGTCAGCCCACCAGGAGGCAACTCCCTAATGGATGAATCTCAGATTGGCAAGGCCCGGGAGACCACAGGCCTTGAAATGTCTTTTGCTTCTGCTGTGCCTTTAGATGTTTGCTGCTTCTGTCTTTCTCTTGGATCTGGCATGGTGTGAATGGGTGTGGAGAGATCCCCACTGCCTGTTATGTAGTGTGTTTATCTCATCAAAATATCCTGTTCTACTTGGCACTTTTACCTTTGGATTATTATGAAGATGATTTCTCATTAAGCTGTATTGTCTAATTGATAATAATAATGTTCATTTAAATAGAGTACTAACAGTAAAAAAATATAACAAGGAAGTATCACACAGCTAGAACAGATGAGTTTCTATTGAGGAACCATATAGGTTGTAGTTTACGATAATGAATTAGGATGTGATTTAGGACAATGTGGTTTAGGATAAGAAAAGCAATTGAGTCATAGTAGCCAAGCTAGTTTAAATTCTTTTAACTTTAATGTTGGGAGATATGTTGATGGCATCATTAGCTGAAACAAAGCCTTAAAATAACTTCAGGTAAGATCAGATGTTTTGAAAATAGCTTTGAGATGAAAAACTCCAGAAAACAATCTAAAATTAAAAGGACACATAGCTGAGGTAAAAAATACAAAGCAGCCCAGCTGTTACTAGCTGACACACTTTGTTGATAGGGTTGGTTGATGTACCCATTCTTGCCCTCAATCTCCTGATATATATATAAAACTCTGTTGAGGAAATGGGGGAAGGGAACCCTTATATACTGCAGTTGGGAATGCAAATTGCTTCAGCTATTACGCAAATCAGTGTATGGTTTCCTCAGAAGATGAAAAACTGGGAAAATAGAGCTGTCATCTGACTCAGTCATATTACTTCTGAATATATACCATAAGAATTCTAAGTAAGCATACCATTGAGATACCTGCACACAAATGTTTTTGCACCACTATTAATAACAGTTATGTTATGGAAGCAGCATAGATGTCCATTAACAGATGAATGAAAGAAATATAATATAAACACGCACACACACACACACATATATATATATATACATGTATATATATATTTATTTATAAAGATAGATAAAAGGATAGAAAGAGTTATTCAATCATGAAGAGATGTGTTTTTCTGAAAAATGAATCCAAGTGATCATTACATTAAGCATAAAAAGCTTAATTTATAAAAGCAAATGCAATCGTCACATTTTTATCTAACTTGAGGCTTCTAGGTTTTTATAGATACATAAAATCAAATGAGTGAGTTATTCAGTGTGTGTGTATGTGTGTCATGGAGAGAAAGCAAGAGAGGACATGGAAACAGAAGGGAGATTGAGGAAAAGGCAAAAAATTTGTGGGAGGAGAATGGGGAGATGAGAAATTGGAGGCTATGTAAGCTGAATATATAATATGCTTAAAGTTGCTTTAGTCATTTTGAAACCTAGTAGTATGTGCAATGAAAATATATCATAATATCACTACAAAATTCGAAAAGGTAAGAAACCCAAGTTAAAAAATATATCAATGTGTCTAAATAGGCATGACTCCAATATAGAGAAATTGCAGCTAAAGCATAAATAGGTCCAACATCACCAGTCATCAGAAAAATGAGGAATGCCAATAAAATAAATTTCTCATCTTTCATAAATGACTTGAATTAAGAAGTAATACAGTGATAAATGTCTGTATGGTTATAGGGAAATAGGTTACTTATACATTGCTAACAGGATTATAAAATGGTGAAGTCTCTTTAAAAGTATTTGATGCATTCTAAAATTATATACAAAATCATATGACTCAACAATTATGCTTTTCATTATTTATCCAAGGGAAATAAAAACATATGTACATTTAAAGTTTTATGCCATAATTTTCATATAGATTTATTAATTATGACTTCAAATTGGAAATGATTCATATGCCCAACAATTGAAAAGCAGTGGAAAAGATGCGGTATATGTAGCAGACATACACAAATGAAAATTATCCAACAGTAAAAAGAAATACAAGTAATGATACATGCTATTAAATTGGTTAATAATGTAAACATTATGCTGACTAGAAAGAATTCAGTGTAAAACAACCATAATTGTTATAACACTTCCATGAAAGCCAAATATAGGTAATCCTAGAGAAGGAATCAGCTAAAGAATACAGTAGTACTTTGAGGTATTAAAATATTCTAAAATTATATCAGGTTTATATTTCCCTATTTTTGTTACAATATGTAACTTCGAGTCTAACTA